TTGAGTCTGATATTGTACTGGATAACACAACATCCTTGGCCCAACCTGATCATCTTGTTGGAACCACACAAGAAAATTTTCATAGTGAAACTTATGAAAATCCTAAGAGGATATGGCTGAAGATGATTTTGTTGGTAGCAAAAGAGATGATTCTAATGATAATAGTATGTCTGCTGAAGAGGAGAAAGATCTGTCTAACAAAGAAGATAAAGAAAATAGTGGTGGTGTAAAGAAGGATCAGTCTACTGACATGCTCAATGTAGATGGTCTAGATTACTGGTATAGTAGTGTGCTTAGTATGTTTTCTTGGTAGAAGGTTGTTGCTTTTGAATTTGATCTACCTTTCTTTTGCTTTGATGAATAACTGCTTGGTTTGTCAATATTTTGGTTAAAAGGGGGAGTAGTAGTATGTGTGCTTCCATATATCTGTTTCTGTTTGTTTAAATTTACTTTGTTTTTCTTTTTGTCAATTTTTGGCTAAAAAGAGGGAGTAAAGTGTTAGTTTGTTTGTCGTGTCTGTTTCTGATGTTGGATCAGATGTCATGACTTCATGTCATGTGTTTTACTACTGCTTAGGAAGAGTAGTTGTCATGCTTGTTGATATGGAATCATTTGTTGTGTCTGGGAGAATGCATTATTCTCTACAGTTGGTTGTGATGTTCAGGGGGAGTGTGCTTGTGCTTGTGTTTGGTGTTCTTGTTGTTTGGTTTCGTTGTATGAACTTGCATAAGTTCATGTTCATGTGTTTTTTCTGGTGATTTGGGTTTTCCACTTCAGGGGGAGTACTAGTTATGTATGACAAGGGGAGTTGTGTTCATGTTTGATCTGTAGCTGCAAGGTTGCAGTTTGTATAGAGCTTACATGTTCTCATGTAGCTTGTGTTTGTTTGTGATGCCAGACCTGATGTCTTGACATTGTGTTGTTAGGTACTCTTACTGGCGTGACAACATTGTGCTTGGGTTTCTTTGTTTCTGTTTTGTTTCCGCTGTGTGTACCTCTGATGTGTGCTAAGGTTGTTTTAGTCAAAATTTGCCAAATGGTGAGATTGTAAGTTCTGTGTTTTTTAGATTGGCTGCATTTTGGTAAAACAACATGTTGTTAGCAAGATGTTGAACTAGATGTTCTGCAATGACAATCACACATCATGTTCTGCATGATGTTGTGACATGTCCCATGACATGTTATACCAGAAAGTTAGGGCATTACTATTTTGGTATTTTTGGTGTGATTTTTGAGTGTGTTCTGATGCACACATGAGCGACTTTTATGGGAGTATATTGTGGAAATTTCTATTATATGAAAAATTCTGTTTATTTTTATAAAAAGGTTCCTTGGTAACCCTAGATGTAGGTAACGTTGCACCGAACTGGGTTAAGATCTACTATGTGTTATTTAAATTCCTGCAATTTTTCTTTAATTTGTTCTTGTGTTAATTTTGCTGTTATGACGTCCTGACATCATATCCAACATATGTCCACTACGTGCCAGAATTTCAACTTCTTTTAGGAATTCCAAACTAAAGGCATCGGGTCCTGGACTTTTGTTACAAGCACAATCAAATATTACCTCCCTAATTTCATTTTCACCAAATATCTCTTCCAACTTAAGGATCTCCTATCTTGATAACCAGGCTAAAGGTTGACACATCAATCAAGTTGTTGTCTATGGTATTGACTCTTTAAGAACCTAGAAGCAAAATGATCCTTGATAGACTTTTTAATTAGGCCAACATCCTCCACAACCACATAACCAACCATGAATGATGAAATAGAGTTTCTATTTGTTCTTTGTTTTAGTAGGACGTGAAAATATTTCGTGTTTTGGTCACCCTCCTTAATCCACTAGGCTCTTGATTTTTGGACTAAGATGCTCTCCTTAAGGCGCAAGTTCTTCCATAATTCCTCCTATTCCATACATCTTTTCTCCAACTCTTCAACAAATACTTGATCGTTGTGACTGGCCATATGGTCTTCCACTTTATTAATTATATCAACCTCCTGTTCTATTTTCAAATAAACCTAGCCAAAAACATTAATGTTCCACCACCGTAGCATGTCCCTAAATAACTGAAGTTTCTTATGTAGCACGAATGATACACTTCCTGCCACAGAAAAGGACTTCCATTCATTCTCGACAAATGACATAAAACCCAAATGCTCAAACCAACAATCAAACACCTTGAAAGGCTTGTGCCCCAATTCACGTTTCTAGCCTTCAACCAAACTGGTATGTGGTCTGAGATATCTCTCTCTCTCCCTCGTGTTGAGCATTTGTGTTCCAATTATTAATCAATCCAAGAAATATCAGAAATCTATCGATACAACTCTTACAACTACCATTCAAATTAAAGTAAGTGAAGTTGTTACCCGTTGTTGGCATATCCACAAGTTCCATTAATTCAATAAACACACCAAATTCCTCCATCTCGACACTGTTATTTTAAACACTCCTACCAATCCTTTCCTCATGGTTTTTTTATCATGTTAAAGTCTCTCCCGACCACCCACTCCCCAGGTGATAATTTTTCTTTCCACTCGATCGATTAATTCCGACCACAACTAAGCAACACGATGAGTATGCATTGATGAAGTAGCAGTTCTTTCCTTTCCACACAACATTAATTCCCAAATAACCTCTGCACTTAAACTAAAAGTTGGGCAAAAAATCCTTCCTCCAAATAGCTATGAGTCCCCCCGATTGTCCAATAGCATCAACAACAGACCATTGACAATCAACTCCTCTTCGAAGACTATGCCCAAGATTATCTCTGATGATAAATAGAATCATCCCCTTTATATTTTTTTACAAATATCAAGATCATAGATGCTCCCAAGTAGGGGTGTGCAAAAAAATCGGTTATTGTTAACCAAATTTGTATCCAAATTGTTCCACTTTTAAAAATCCAAACCAAATGCTAAAATATAAATTTGGTTATCCATTTTGTTATTCAAATATAAAGCGGTTTCCATGTGGTTTATCCATTGGTTATCCAAATTTCATTATTTGTTAAATTAATATGTTTTTGTCTCTTTTCATGTTTTATCATATACACGTTATAAACTAATTTTATATTTTAAACCAAAAGATTCAAAATTTTGTATTTCAAAATTAAAAAAAAATGTTTACAAATTCTCTAACTACCTAAAATGATGTACTAATACTTCACAAGTTATATGGATTTTTATCAGTTAATTATATGAACTTTCAGTAATTAATTATATAGATCTTAGTGCATCGAGTTTGATTTGACATGTTCAAGAAAATATACCAAAACTTGACTTGTTGGATTTGACTCTAGTTTTCATTTATAAATCTCGAAGTTCATTAAAGCTTTATGAAAAAAATAATTATAAATATTATAGATTTCTCCACCAATAGATAGAGGTTTTGAAATATACAAATATATGTATTATAAATATTAGTTATCAATTTAAGTCCATATAATTTGCTGAAATTTTTTATTTTAGAATTTTTATTTTCAATTTTATTTTTAATTTTTAGATTTTTTTAATTTTTTTTTAATATTCAAAGAAAAAATATATTAAAATCTAAGTATTTAAATTTAAAAATTGATATAATTTAAATAAATTTAAATTTAAATTTAACTAAATAATTTGGGTTAAAATCAAAATACATTTAGAACTGATTTTAAACCGGTTTAGAACAAGTGGTTTGGTTTATAAACCATAACCATAAAAATGGTTTGGTTTATAAACCATAACCATAAAAACGGATTGATTCATATTAAATGGTTATCCATGCACACCTCTAGAGGTGGATATGACATTCATATCACATGTACAACTCAGATCAGATGAAGCATCAGGGGTTGAAAATGTCTCGTGTTCACTACTCTCAACATCGGTGTTGTAGTTCCTGTCTTTACAATAATAATTTGGTGGATTTGGAAATCCTAGACTAGCATATTGGTTTTAATGATTGTTGTCTTATTACTTTGATTGTATTCATGTTTAATTTTCTATATGGATTTTTCATATATGTAATAATCAATTTTTCTGTACTGTCAAATACTTTTTCTTGAACATTTTTATTTCTTAATACAAAGTATAAAATTAAAATGTTTCATGTGGTTTATCAATTATTTGATAGTTTGCAATAAAATTAATTATTTTTAAAAAATGGTTTTAAAATTGGTTTTTTTTTATAAAATTGGTTTTAAAACTGATTTCTTTAAAGAAAATAAAAAATTGGTTTTAAGAGAACTGATTTTTAAAAAAACTGTTTTTTTTTTTAAATCGGTTTGAAACTAAACCAACCCACTTGTAAATCGATTTTAAAAAAATAAACCAGTTTTATATAAACGGTTTTAAAATCCAAACTAAATCATATATGTGGTTTAGTTTGGTTTATAATTCATGCACACCCCTACTTCCAAACGTATTGGAATTTTTCATGTAAAGATTCTAGTTAGTATGGATCTTAATTTTACAGGCTCGGGCAACTAAGCTAGGCAACTCATTTCTTTATGTTTTTTTTTTAAATTTTTTATATTGTTTTGATTTTATTCTTTCTTAGGTGTTATTTTATTTGTCTCATTGTAATTCCTTAAAACAATGAAATGGAGAGAAGCTTACTTATATTGACTCTTGTTATATTTAGATAAATATTGACTTTAAATATCATGATTGGGTAAAGAATAATTTTTCTTTTTCTTGAAAAAGCAAATATAAGAATGAGTAATATATCAAATGTAAACTATATTAGCTACAAGATATAACATGAATGACCAGTTGACCACTTCTTGCATAAACTAAATATAGAACATTTATTTTCACTCCTAATCACAAAGGGTAATTATAATACTTATAATAATTAGTAATCTTATAGATTCCAATTTCCATCCATTACAACAAGTAATTAAGAACAACATCGAGAACAAATTTATTATCTAGATACCATTGGAAGTTAATATTAATAAGCATCTTCCATTATTTAAAAATGATATATATAAATATCATTGTTATCATCTCATATGTTAGTTAACTGCATACGAAGTTAATGGACGTGTTACGTCCACAAACAACAAGTGCCAAGTTTAAGGGAATATTAGGGTTTATCCCCAAAACATTAAGCTTGATGGCTGTGCAAAGACACAGTGCAGCATCAAGATCAACAAGATTAGCAATGAGGGAGCAACAAGGTTTGGATTGTAAAGGGGAGACCACAATGCCCACCAGATTTTGCAACAGGGAGACGCAAACGCGCAGATTAGGACAAGTCGACGGTGGTGGTGACACGGCCGGTGGTGCCTGAGCAGAGCTAAGGGTGGTGAAGAAAAATATAATGATGGAGAGAATTAGAATGGTAATGGTTGCAACACCATTTGAACCCATTTTGAAAATTTGTGTATAGATAGAATAATGCAATATAGGTGAATTATAAGTACTTAATTTCCCTTGTTGTCGATGAATGAGCTTGATGATAACCACGAGAGTATATTTATAGGCAAATTAAAAGGGACTTTGGATTTCTTTTTATTTTGATGGGATTTCATTTCTTTTTCTTTATTAGTTGCATTTACTATTTTTTTTTAAACCAAAACTTTAATCAATAGGATATACTCTTTTTTTTGTTTTTGAAAATAGGATATACTCCTATTTGTATTTGAAAATAAAAGTAAGAGTTAATAAATATTCTTAAGGAAAAAATGGATAGTGATAAAATTAAACCTTATAAAAAATTATACAGAAATAAGTGATAAATGAGCGACAAACCACGTCGCTGCGTTATTTTTATGATAAAATCAATTCTCTTAAGTTTTAATAAAAAAATCCATCTAAGTGACTCATAATCCATACTAGTAGCATTAAGTGGTGGATGAAAAATATAATGGATGTCTACATTGCTTTTGTTCTGCGGCAATATTTGAATGAGTTTACAAATTTTATTTGCCGACCTAAGCTTATAGAACTAGATCTTTTTGTACCTGACAACCATTGACAATAGTTGATCATTATAAATAAACAAATAGCTTTAACTTCTTAAGTGGTAACGAATATATGTGGTTGTGATGATTAGTAAAGAGTGGTAACGAATATATGTGGTTGTGAAGATTAGTAAAGAGAGTAGAGGGAAACGCAATGATGAAAAATTGTATGTTCATAATGAAAATTTTCTGCTTTATTAATAGGTGGAAATGATACATACTGTTTATCGTGCATGATGAATAAATTGAATGGCCGTGGACCATATTTGGAGAACTTTCAAATATTATGCATAATTCATTTTTCACTTTTCATTCTCATTCTCAATATAGAAAGCTAGTTATTCATTAAAAACCATAAGTTATTGCTACCACTGCTTAATAAAACTCAAAAAAACCCATCTTACCACGAGCATGAAGGAGATTTACCTCGGTTACATAATATAGGTAAAGAAGGAAAAAAAATTGTCATTTTATCTCTTAATTTAAAAAAAAAATCAAGAGTATATAGTTAAAATGATTATGAGTTTGATTCCCTAACAATTTTTTTTTTTGAATTTTTAAAATTGAAAAAAATACACTACTTTTTTATTAAAAAATTAATTTAAATCGAATGAATCGATGTTAGAATCGTGAATGTTGTCAGTTTTCTTAAAAGTATTTCAAGCACTCTCTTATAGTTTTTGAGTTGGAACGCAAAAATACGCAGGATAATTCGACCTTCTAATCGAATCTGCACAAGACTAGTGAAGATTCGAATGCAGGGAATAATGTCTGGAATTATGTGAAGATGATGCACGATTTTTTAATGTATTTTTCTGAATTCGGAATGCTCAAATTATTGGCCAAACTGGTATTGTTTCATAAGGTTTCTCATACATCAACACTTTTAGAACGTTGCATTATTCCACATACAACAACACTTTTACCAAGTGTTGGACCGTTTCGCCTATATCAACAGTTTTCAAAAGTTATATTGTTTCACATACTGCAACACTTCACGAAGTGTTGCCTATTTCCGAATTCAAACCTAATGCAACACTTCACAAGTGTTACCTATTTTTGAATTCAAAAATTAATCTTCACTTGAATATTTTCTTGTCATATTGAAACACTCTCATGGGCATTGATTGTCCATAATTTCCAACAATCCTCCACTTGTTCTAATAATAACAAGTCTAATTTCAAAAACGGAGGTATAAAGAATGTTAATACAGTTAGGTATATTTCGATTTAAAACTTAACCTTAGGGAGGATAACACAAAGTTAATTAGAATGTTAGGTAGCAATGCTTTAAAACCATTAATCTATATGATTAAACTGACGTTACCTTACACACATTATTTAGGGTTCTTCCCCTACATATCTCCACTAACACTTATTTATGGCAATATGCTTTCCTATTTTATGAATTTATCGTGAGAGAAAATTTAACTCTCACTTTGAGACGACACCATCTCAAAATTCACATAGGTGAAATTCATATTGTATCCCTTTCCATGAGACACATACCCTCGGTATTAAACTTCATTAAGAGTTTAAATAAAAACTCAACCCTAATTTTAAAGGTCAACATTATCACGAAATGTTCCACAAACATCCAAATCAACGACTTGTTGTTACCCATTGAATCTTGAGGTTAATGTTCTATTAACGTAAGATTGGGTTGTCACCGCTGTCGAAACTCGTACTCAAGGAGTTTCAACCCAATACCTCATGAGGTTGTTTTTAATAAGTCTCTGGCCAGTGTCTTAGTAAATGGATTAGCCAAGTTATAGCTCGTCTACATATAGGTGAGTGAAATGATTCCATCTTTAATCAATTTTCTCACAAAGGAATGTCTAACTCCTATTTGGCTAGACTTTCAATTATACAATTCGCTGAATGTTATAGCTAAATTGGCTTGGCTATCACAGTGTATCAACATCATTGAAACATTGTCTTTTGCCAATGGAATTTCTAACAGAATGTCTCTCAACAATTCCACTTCTTGACCAGTAGAAGGAAGAGTCATAGGTATGGCAAAAAAACTCGGACTCGTAGGGGCCCGCCCCGAAATTAGCGGGGAAAACCCAGTTTGAGTGGGTACGGGTGCGGGTGCGGGGAAAATCCGACTTTTAATTACAGGTGCAGGTACGGGTACGGGGAGACACTAAGACCCGCCCGCACCCGGCCCTGTCCCACCACCGAATAATGCATTTTAACTTAATTCTCTTACTTTAGTTATTTTAATATTCATTTATTAATTATATTTTTAATTAAATTATTAATACCTTTATTGCAATTAAAATAATTAAATTAATCAAATTAATATTTATTTACTAATTAAAATTTTAATTAAATAAATAATTAATTTATTAAAATAATCAATTTTTAATTAAATTATTAAATTTAATTGCAATTAAAAAGAAATTAATTTTTTTCAGGTGGGGGCGGGGCGGGTGTGGGTGCATCCGTTCTCTATTGGGGGCGGGTCCGGCCGATAAATTTTTACCCCCGATTGAGTTTGGGGGTTGGGGCGGGTGTGTTACATGGAAGCGGGTGCGGGTGCGGGTATAGTAAAACCCGCCCCGACCCGCCCCGTTGCCATCCCTAAAGAGCCACAAACTCTAATTCCATGGTTGAAAGAGTAAGGCTTGTTTGTTTCTTGCTCTTCCAAGAAATTGCTACCCCAACTAGTGTAAATGTCCACCTAGTTGTGGATTTATAATCTCCAACATTGGATATCCAACTTACATCGATATATCCTTCTAGTATGACGGGAAACCTGTCATAGTGAAGGCCAAGATTTTTGGTCTTTTGTAGATAGTCGAAAATCCTTGTGATGGCCTTCCAGTTCTCACCATTTGGATTGCTAGTAAAATATACTCATTTTACTAATTGCAAATTCTATGTCGAATCTAGTACATTGCATGCACTTTCATATTCTAATTGAGCCACAATTATTTAATCATTCTTTTGAAGTTTGACACTAGGATCAAATGGAGTAATTACCTTCTCAATCATTCTTCAATCAATCTTTCTTGAAATGTTTTAACTTATCATGTGCTTTCTCAACATAATGTGTTTGAACCTATCAAGTGCTTTCTCAACATAATTTGTTTGACTTGCAGGGAAATCATGATCCAAAATGCAGCAGAAATTCAAATTTTCCCTTTAGTGATCCTTAGAAATGAGCATGATCAGTGATAGAAATGGTTACCTCTTGTGACGATAAAACCTTTAATGTTGAATCAAAGGAGTGATCATGAGCGCTGAATGATAAATAACGCCTCTAATCAGTTCACACAAATAGATTCCTTCAGTCTCAGTGCTAACTGCTACAATTGAAGGTTTTGAGTGAGAGAGAAAGAGAAAGGAAATACAATTAGGGATTTCACAATCCGAATTTTCATCAAGAGTGAATGCTTATGCACAAGGGTTCTAGTTATAGAACCACATGTGTGGTCTACAAGCTAAAAATACCACTTAAGTGCACGCACACCATATCTTATGGTGTACCATATATCACCTAAGCATGTGGTACCTTACTGTCGCACCTCAAAAAAGTACGACCTTCGAGCAAAAGGCACAGAAGAATGGTTTGAACAGAGTCGCCACTGAACTTTATTCATTCCAATGAAGGAATAGGAAAATATCGAGAAAACCTTTTAAAAAGATTTAAAAAATGGTCATCGTAACCAAAATCTGGGTTCGGGAGTCGATTACGTAAAGGGAATGTACTAACACCCTCTATGTTTGTTGTACTCAACAGGAACCTCTTAGTTTAATTTGTGATGAATGTTAGCTAAGCTTGTTTTTTTCTTCTAAACGAGTAATGCGAAAAGGACAGGGAAAATGATTCGATTGCTAAGGAGAGATGTGTGGTTTTTTATTAGAGTGCTCGGAAAGGATTTGGGCCCTTGTGCCTACGTATTTTCATTTGAGCGAGAATGAAAAATCAGGGCATTCGTAGTTCGGGCTACGGGAAAACGAGTTTAGACAGAAACAACGGGAAAAGAAAAAGGTAGCTCGCCAAGGATTGGGGCCCTTGTGCCTACGTATCTTCAATAAGACGAGAATGAAGAATCAGAGTGCTCGTAGTTCGTGGAACTATGAGTTGAAAGATTGCTTTGCTTTAGAGGTAATAATTGTTCAAACACGAGAAACACAACTTGCACATAAACAATCGAGAAGAGGAACCGAAGGTTCCAAACCCCTTCTATTCACCTTTATTTGAAAAGAGTTTTGATAGTTGTTATGTATTTTTGAAGTTTGATTGAGAAAATCCATTTAATGTTGCATCAAGGGTTTATTTGGATTCACGTATCAAAAGTTTGAAACAAATCCATGAAGAATGCCCACGGACTTGAAGAAGATGCTGGTGGATGGGCTGAAGATTGTCTTGGAACCTCGTGATTGATCCTGGAT